CTTTACTGTCCACAACATCTTTGCCATGGGTGTGAGTTTATCAGTATTTTAATCAATCCCAAATAGAATAGGGTAGGCCATCCCTACAAAGCAAAGTTATTTTCCTGAATTTAGCAAGGAAAACGGTGATGTGAATGAACTTTCTTTCTATTTAAATCATTGACAAGTGGAAGTGGTGAATATGTTTAAGACTATGTTTAAGGCAGTGAGAGCATTTGTACGAGATGCCTGGATCCAGATGTTTTGGCACCTGGATATAAGTAACTGCATTTACTTGTGTCCTGCTGAATTAAGTTCCTGAAGCCTATTAAGTAATTTTGTAATTACTGCTTTTGATTTATTTTTATGTTTTTTCTTTACCTTTTTAATTCAATTCATTTTAATTCATGAAACAGCAAAGGTCATTGTAGTAAATTGCATGTACAGCCTAACTGATGTACTTCTATACAGCATAATCCTACAGAACATACTACAGTAACTTTTAAATATATATATATATATATATAAAGTCTCATTTTAATCTGAATGTTTAAATAGACTAGAACTTCTAGGTTACTAGAGTTAAAGGTCATGTTATGTCACAGAATAGGTAATATTTTCTAGCTTTGAAAATGCATTTCCATTAACTTGACTTCATAAGGATTTAATCATATTTAATGACTCAAACAGATACAATGTATGATTTTTTGTAGATGTGCTTTTTGAAAAAAATTTACAAGAACAGATTCTGTGAGAAAAATAGAGTATGTAGGAACAGAGATCTTCTGCACATTTTAATAATTTTTATTTTTGTTTTATTTTATTAATGTTTTATCTTGAGAAGTTTTAAGGTATCTCTTCTTTATCAAGATGCAACCTTACAAAGATAAGCTGTTTGATTTTTGTCCTAGTTTCTAAATATGAAGATTACTGTAAATTGTCTTGTTTATAAGAAGAATGGTGACATCTGGCCCATCTTCTCTTCTTTCTTCTTTCTCCTTTATGCCACTTTTCCTGTTGAGGGTCGCAGTGGCAGCATGGAGAGTAGGGAGGACCAGACCTCCCTTTCCTCTGCAACAGCTTCCAGCTCCTCCTAGGGGATTCCCCAGCGTTCTCAGTCCAGCCAGGAGATACAATCCCTCCAGTGCATCCTGGGTCAGCCTCGGGGCCTCCACCCAGTGGGACGTGCCTGGTAGAGTTCCAACGGAAGCCTCCTAGGGGGTATCCTTATCAGTTGCCTGAACCACCACAGCTGGCTCCTCTTGATCCAGAGGAGTACCGGCTCTACTCCAAGGGTCTCCTAAATAGCTGAGCCCCTCACCCTGTCTCAGAGAGCAAGCCCAGCCACCCTGCAGAGAAACCTCATTTCCACCGCTTGTATCTGCAATCTCATCGTTTTGGTCATTACCCAAAGTTCAGGACCATAAGTGAGGATGGGGACACAGAGCAACCTGTAAACAGAAAGCTTTGTCAGAGAACTCAGCTCCCGCTTCACTACCAAGTATAGGTACAGCGCCCGCATCACTGTCACCAGTGCACCAATCTGCCGGTCAATCTCACGCTCCCACTTACTATCACTTGTGAACTAGACCCCTAGATATTTGAACTCTTCCACTAAGGGCAACTGTTCCCCATTTACCTAGAGAGAGCAGCCCAATTCCTTCCAGGAAAGGACCAGGACCTTCAATTTTGAGGTGCTGATTCTCATCCCAGCCACTTGAAACTTGGCAGCGAAACGTTGAGTGAGTTTCAGAGATCACATCTGGTCCTAAACTGTTTACATTTATTTTATCTTGCTGATGGATGAATGCTGAGAGGCTGGTAGTTGCTAGGGTCTTTTCAATCCATTATCTTGATAGGATTTGGGGTCAATTTTCCATAAACTGGTTACATATTTTCATGTCAAGACTTTTTCACATGGACATGGCCTTGTCCAGTTCAACAAGAGTGGCCTCTGTTCTGTTTTTTCTATTTTATTTATTTATTTTTTGGATGGTGGGTGTCATGGACCTAGTCTCTGTGGTACGCAAAGCAATGTTTTTTTTAAAAAAAATTGGTGGCTTAAGCAGGACTTTCCCAAAATCAAAGCTCACTAACAATGACCTAATTTAAACAATAACTGACCAACTTGTGTGGCTCCATATTGATTTGCTCAGAGACTTTCAAGGGAGGCACTGCAAGGTGGAGTAAGCAAAGATTAAAAACTATAAGAAATAAATGGAAGGCCAAGAAGCCTTGTTTTTTTGGGTCAACAAACCACCTGAGGGATGACTGACATTCCTGAAATCCTAAGGTCAACCACCTTAAAGAAAGGAAGCCAGTTCATCTACAAAAAGGCTACACCAGCCTTTGACCCGTCTCCCTGCACATGAAGGATGCCACTAAATGCTGTGCCAGCAACATCACCATCTAGCTGCTGGACTGCAATTACAGCTCCTGTTCTGTGACAATCCAGAAGGCCACGAAAACTGAAGTGTTAGCAATCCCCCTGTTATTTTACGTATCTTATTTTTCCTTTTTCTATTATTGTCTTTTGCTTCTATTAAAGCTGGGAGGCAGTCCAGCCTTTTTATTCTCTCATTTTAGGGTGTGGAAGGGTGGTTGTGTGAATGCATGTGTCTATGAGCACCCATCAAGGTCATAAAGGGAAGGCACCAAAAAAAGTTCCCCAGTTTAAACAGCCCTAACCAAAGTCTCAAAGTTATTCATTAAAGTATGTTCCATATTCTGTGTTTAAAAGTCCTAAGGAACTTTATAATGAGACAGAGTGTCCTCCCACTGAGCTGGAGAGGGAGGAGTCACTCTGTAATCCCAGGTGGACAGAGCCAGATCAGGCTTACTCCTCCTGCCGGAAGCCAAGGGGCAGGGCAGGAAGTATAAAAGACAGAGCCACCAACCCAGGTGAGTCTGAGTCAGGGAAGGGAGCAGACTTATTCAGGCCACTTGTAGAGCCCTGGAGCTGAACCCGCGCTAAGTCACGCCTTGCCCCCAGAGGAGATTGACCCAGGTGAAGAGCTGCCAGGTCTGTTGCTCGCCGCATATCCTGAGGAGACCTGTGACACCTAGGACGCCTGTGGAATGCAGGTACCCAGCAAGGGGATCGTAAGAAGTGGCCAGGGAAAGCAGACTTTAGTCCAGTTGGGTTGTTGCTCGATTCTATGTCACCATGTTTCGGTTGGATCCTCGCTGACCCAGTGATGGAACACTCTGCTACTGGTAGGTCCCTGGGCTGATACCAGGTGAAGTAGGGTGGGCCCTGGTTCCCCTACTCCTTGCTGCCAACTCCACTCCTGGGGTGGCAGCCTCCCCACCTTAGGCCAAGAGGCCTGCGTCTGCCTGCCATCTGCCAGACCTGGGTCGTCAGACTGTTTATTTGCTCTGCCCTGCTGAAGGGCCTGAGCTATAAAACTGTTCCTTTGCTCTGCTCCGCCTAAGGGCCTGAGCTTTAAGACTGCTTGGTTGCTCTGCCCTGCCTAGGGCCCAAGAGCCTACACTGTTTGCTGGCTCCGCCCTGCCTAAAAGCCAAAGCTCTAGTCCTTCCTTGGGGTGGCACCCCAGAGATGTAGTGAGGCAGAGTGGCCTCCCACTGAGCTGGAGTGGGAGGGACAGTCGCTAACCCTCTGCAAACTAAAACAATCATACATAATATTTGGTACATAAGATTTCTCAAACTTCTGCTTATCCAAGAGTTTTGTTAGAGTCTGTACAATGCAATCTGGGGAGAGGAGACTGGGGAAGGGTTAACCACCACACTGAAACTGAAATCTAAAGAAGAAGCTTTATAATTGGCTCTGAGGTTGTGGTTTTAGTATTAGAGAATAATTTGTTTTCAGTATAAAAATATTTAACCAGATCCAAGTTAGACTTGACTGACTTGGGTGAATTTTTTTTAGTTGGGGTTTCTAACCAAGGAGAGAGCCTCCTTTTGAGATCCCTCTTATAAGGATTGATTATTTGCTATATTAATCTGATGATCTGATTAATTTGATTCCCTTCCAATACCGAGACTAACTTCTTGACTTGATGTGATAGCTGTATTATTTTATTCTTAGTTTAGTTTAGTATTACTAACAGTAGCTTAACTTTGGTGATAGGTTTTCTTGATTTTGTTTTTGTTTGTTTAAAAGTTTGAATACAAGTTATAAAACTGATACTGTTTCATTTCTTTCAATGAGCAATGTAGGTTCATAACGTTAGCATTTCTAAAATGTAACTTATTTACAGTGAACACATAGGGTTGTGATACAAGTGCCTTCACAACTGGCAAACATAAGCAGCAACAGATAAAAAAATGCTCAAGTTGTGAAGTAGATTCTGCACAATGTCACACAAATAAATTTGGTTAGTTAATGCACCTCTAAAAACTCACAAACAATTGTTCTTTTTATATGCCCATAGGACCGGTCCTTTCTTGGCACTGCATTCAACTATGCTGTGTACATAAAAAAACATGTAGCTGGTTAAACTGGAATCTGGCTCTGGATAGCAGAAACATAGCAGGTCTTATGTCTACAGAGGTAGTGAATTTCAGACCTTTATTTTGAAAAGGTCAATAAATCCTGGGGCAATTCATGTGGCACAGAAAGAGAAAAGTTTATAAAATTGTGCCTGATACCCAAAGAGATAAATGGTGTATTATGGAAGGGTTTCTGCGGAGTTAATCTAGATTTACACCAATGAGATCAGAATCTAATCCACTGAATTTCACATATTGTAGGACTAAGAAAGTAAAGTGACACAAACTAAGTAACTGGAGTATTGTTACTCTAGGGCCTTTGATGGGTTCTGGAAGGAAGCAGCTGAAATATTGTTTCCTGAAATATTATTGTTTATATTCTTTGCCGACACTCCAGGAAATGCCATATTGCCACCCTAAAGAATCTTGCATTACTTTTAGAAGGAGAACAAGAACTTTATAGAGAAGAGGTTTGTACACTGACTAGTCCCATACAGGGCTCTACTGGATATCTTGTCAACCAAATATAAGTTTTGATTAAGCAGCACAGCTGTCATGTACTTACCTTTGATTTGCCCTTACTGTAACAGGCTCTTTTAGTAGCTTCATCACACTGCCACTCCACTGCCTGAAATACATACCAATGAAAATATTTATAGACAAAGATAAGTAAAGTACAAAACACATACGAGTGTCAGATAGAGACAGCTGACACAGTCATGTTCATGGTACATAGTTCTTTCACATTAACAACTGATATTGGGGAGAATCCATATAATATTGTTATAATTTTTTTTCCTCAGAAACATATATCATTCTTATTGATGGCTGCTTAGTGACATAGTTAAAGTGTGATTGGTGTTTTCAATCCAGACCAAGCACACACTTACTTACATCAGAAAAATCACAGTCAGCACTAATTAGCATTATTCCTGGCAGTCCTAGCAAAGCAAAGTGATTGAATAAGTATGGAGAGGAAAAGATGCTCTATCCCCAGATCTGTCTGTCTAGGTAGTTAAATGGCCTGCATCGCCATAGCATTTGAGGTCAACTTTGTTGAGAGACATAGTCATCATGTTGTGGGAAAGCGTGCACTGTTGCTGTCCTTCCTGTCAGTATAAATTCAAGAGGCTACCAATCCAGCACTAATCACAAGCACGAAAACTTACATTTTGGCTTGAGAGAAAAAAGAAACATACAAAACAACAGCACTAAAATTGTCTACTATGGAACTAAGGTGATTTAGCTTAATTTCTGTGTTGTCTCTTTGCTTCAACATATTTATACCACAGCTGTAACACTGTAGTGTTAGTGTATGAATTAAACCTTATTATTGCCTGATCTAATATTCAAAAGCTATGACTTAGGAAGTATATTCTTTTATGAAGTAGAGTGTATATTTCAGTGTGTACATACTGATACATGTGCATATTTGCATATATATATATATATATATATATATATATATACTGTATAATCAAGAGTGCCTTTGATATCAGATGGTACCTTTCACATCTAGGGTGTGTATTCATATCTGTTATTTAGATTAAAAGTGTCATTGACTGCATTTGCTTTTTACCAGAAAGAACTTGTGATTTCTTTACTAACTGTTGCAGTTTAACAATTTAAACCACAGTTTGCCCCATTTTCATTTTAAATAACCAAAGCCAACTCATGCTGATTTAATGTAGCTAATTTTTTGCAGCTGACCTTTCATGGAGATTGTATTAATAGTAAAAAGACTCTGTGATTAGTAAAAATAATAGGCTAAAAGCCTATTTAAATGAGGGGAAGGAAAAGCCTCCAGACAATACTACACAGTACTCTTTGATTTGCCTTTTCAACTAGCCCAAGAATGAGTTTGTTTATTTTCAGAAAAATAACAACCTTATAACCAGTCCCCCTCATTCCCCAGACTCCTTTCCATTTAAAACAATTTCTATTGCAGATGAATTTCTACATCAGTGGTGATTCACTGAAAACTTCTAAAACAGTCTGGAAGAATCCTTTAGTGAATGACCAGAGCATTTGTAACAAATTGTATCTAGCAGCATGAAACACCCTCATAAGGTATTATTTAAAAAGGGAACAATGCCTTAACTCTTTTGTACAAAAAGCAGTTTTGTCTCACAAATGTACTCTATAAAAGACTGTTCTTAGCATACCAGTGTATCCTGGGTTTGTAGAGTATTATAAAGATTGCTTTAGAACAGAGAACTAAAGCAAATACCACCAGGACACAATAAGTCTAAATGTTGTATAGCAGTATGTGCCAGTGTCTGATTTTGGAAATTTTAACCCATAAAAGCATTGAAGCTTAAACTCTACTATGGTTCCAATGTAGAAGGAGTTACTGGAAGGTCATCAGTGTAGGATGGGGAGTGGAGAGAAAGAAGACATGTTAAGCATGTAGCATATCCTACAGCATGAGTAAACCCCTTATGCTTAACAATCTGTCACACCTTGTATTTTGCTCACTATGGTTGTCTTCTCCGGGCCTGAGGAAGATCTCTTTGTAGCTTGAAAGCTTGTCCCTTCCACCAACAGAAGTTAGTCCAATAAAAGTTATTACCTCACCTATAGTGTCTCTCTCATCCTGGGACCACCACAGCTACAACAAAGCTACACACACTGTATTTCACAACACCTGTACCAAGCTGGTATATATCATTTTCAATATGAAGAAACTGAGACAGACATTAAGTGACTTGCCCAATGTCAGACTGTAGAGTAGGGACAGGAAAAAGATTAGAATCCAAGTCCCGTTTCGTAGGCTCATGAATAATCCATTCTACTGCAATGCCCCCAAAACACAATACTTATGGGAAAATTTTCAAAAGAAGCTTTGTTTTGGGTGCCCATCTTTAACATCCAACACATGGTTTGGCAGAGGTACTCCTCTCACAGATCAGCTTACCACTGCCACAAGTCCACTACCTATAATAGAGAGCCAACGGTATTTATCACAGGTGAAAATGTACTGCACAAGATTTAAAATACCTGCTGCCACAGACCAAAAAAAATATTATTTCCCCAATTTTAAAGATTTGGAATCCTAAACTGAGAAAGATTAAGTAGATTTCCTTGCAGTTTCATTTATTTTCTAATCTATTGGAATGAACATTGGCTTTGAGAGTCAAGATCACTGAATTCTATTTTTGTCTGATTCTAACACTGACTTGCTGTATGACCTTAGTTCATTTCACTCAGTCTTTGTTTCTGCAAAATGGGAGCAATCATATTTCCCTCCTTTACAAAGTTGCACGGCATAATTAAGCAATGCATGCAAAATGCTACAAAAATGCAAAGAATGATTACGATTTGTCGGTAGCAGAGATGGGAACAAAATTCAGAAACTAATTATTCTTAGCCCTGTGATTAATACACTAGATTATATGACTTTTGGGGGGGAATCCTCTTTCCTCTTCCAAAACAAATTCATATACAAGTGGTCACTTTGAGTTTCCACATACATCTCTACAAATATTTCAGACTCAACAAGTTCCTTTGAGATTCCTATATATTGACTAAACCTCCCAAATTATAAGTTATTGCTAAGTGAGAACTGCCCAGATATCTAGATTTTTTCAGGAGAGAAAAGTCAAAGGCCTGAGAGAGTAGAAACTCAAAAGCCAATGGCACAGTTTTTGCAGTCTTTCACCAGAGTATGTAATGGAACTCAGTGCAGGCAAGCCTATTAACCAAACCTGTGGTGTAGCTGAAAAGAAGCTTCCCTTTTTTCCTTTCTCAAATATACTTTGAATGAATGAATTGAAATATACATTTAATATTAAGACACTATATGATATTGTCAGATACTGTATTGGGGTAAATATAAGGAAATAAACTGAATAAACTATTTTTATGAATTAAGCTATATGCAAGACATTGTACAATTAATGGCAGGGTTTACTTTAGGAGCATCCTGCTAAGAAAAGAAGGGGGCTGTGTTCATAGTGATATATTTTAAATTAGTGATGAAGTTAGCAAAGTAAGGATAATATTTGCAATCAAGTATGCTTATGTTACTTCAAGTTGCAGTGGGGGAGGTTTAGATTGGATATTAGGAAAAACTTTTTCACTAAGAGGGTGGTGAAACACTGGAATGCGTTACCTAGGGAGGTGGTAGAATCTCCTTCCTTAGAGGTTTTTAAGGTCAGGCTTGACAAAGCCCTGGCTGGGATGATTTAACTGGGAATTGGTCCTGCTTCAGGCAGGGGGTTGGACTGGATGACCTTCTGGGGTCCCTTCCAACCCTTATATTCTATGATTCTATGATTCTAAGTCAGTGAAATATACCAATGCTGCAAATGGATAAATAGATAGAATCAAATAATGTGTTCTAAGGACGGCTGAACACAGAGTTGAATAATGAGAAATGCAACTGTTTGACCATGGGCATAGTTTTAGGGGGAGGGGCAGAAGGGGTGCTGCCCCCCTCCCCAAACTGCAAAACTCAGTTAGGCATGGAATTCGCCCCCCACTCATGGCAGCCCCATTGGCCTGACTGGAACTGCCCCCACAAAAAAAATATAGAAGTCAAAGTACACCTATATGTTTGACCACTAATGCACAGACAACAGGTCAGCCATATATACAGAGTTCCTAACATTATTGTTAAAATAAGGAGAGCAGAAATGAAAAACCTATACAGCTGTTTTGGCCTGCTGAAGAACAGCAATTTTAAAATGACATTGTGTTACTGCATGTTGGACAGTTAAAACAAATTAAAGATCATAAAAGCAGTGGCGAGGCTTTTATTCAGACTGTGAACTTTAAGCTAGACATTTCAACAGTCAGCAAAGTGCTGAGGAGAAAATACGACTTGAGCAAGTACACTGTGTGAAGTTGGCCAGAGGATGCACTTCAAGAGGGAGCCATGGAAAGCAACTTGCTAAAGTAGGCTGCTAACTGGGGATGAGCCAGCAGGTGTTCAATGTATGTATCACCATGGCCATACAAACAGCTATGACCTAACTAGTCTTACGTAAACCGGTAAGGCATAAGATGTTTTGCACAAATATACTGGAATGTAAGACCCAGTTGCAAGACTTCAAAAGTGATGCCTCATCTTCTGATTGGATGGTGAAAGGGGACACAACTTTAATTTTGGCTGGACATTTTAAGTCTTTGTCACACGCATGAGTTGCCATTTGATTAACCCACACCAGTTTCTCAAAGAAGAGTAACCCAGTTGTACCACCCAGAAAAAATAGGATAAATTGGTCTGTCTCTGTAAGCACATTGCTTCCTGAAAGCTAAAGACACCTGGAAGGAAGACCTGCGCCAGCAACTTAGGAACCCTCCTGGTGATCCCAAGTACTCATATCAGATAGGCACCTTTATTTGTCTCTTTCTCTTTTCCAGTAGTTTGGGTTGTCCACCATCGGACTGGGAAAAGACTATAATGCTGTACCTAAATCTGTTCCACCTAGGTTTACAGTGTCAACTTTGCTATTGAGCTGAAAGCTGAAGGCTGAGCAGAGTTCTGGTGATAACTAACGGACTTTGAGAACCCTTTCAACATCAAAGAACTATAGGGGATAATTGCATACTTTGCAGCAATAAAATATTTCAATAATTTTGTCTAAAGATTGGGTGGGCAGTAGAATCTTGTTCAAAAGTTAA